CGAGCATGTAAGCGACATCGTGTCAGGATAACACACAGTTAATTACGCTAACTGCCGAGTTGGGTAACGAAAGCTTCATTATGTATTTACACATCAAAGATATCCCAGGAGAGACGTTGATCAATGCATATCCACGACGCAGACCTCAACTGCCACGCGAGATGCGACCGACTGCTGAGCTCGCCTCGCATGTCGTATCCTAGAGGCCCGCACAAGGTATCCAGCACCCGTCGCACTACTCACAGCTCGTCCGCAGGCCGTTTGCGGCTCTCCTCCGTCTTCTCTGCCTCCTCGGTGACCGTCTCCTTCAGCGACAGGCCATCGAGCCACTGTCGTGCGATGCGGTTGAAAACCGTCGGGTTCTCGAGCTGCAGCCAGTGTGCGCCCTCAATGATCTGAATCATGGCACGCGTCGTCAAGAACGGTGCTTCAGCACAAGTCACCGCACATAGAACTCACATGCGTGGTGAGGTTCGGGATGTAGTCTGCGCTGTGCATGAGCTTCGCAGTGCCTTCCCAGTCTGCGACGGGGTCCTGGTCAAGGCGAAGCCAAGGTAAGAGTTAGTCGGACAAGGTGAGCGACAGACACTCGCCTTGTTCGGCAGGATGGACAGCACCGGCTGTGGAATCGTAAAGTTGAGCTGGGCGTGAATGAACTCCCACGATCGTTTTTGGTTCTGCGAGTTCGGCCCTCTCTCAGTAGAATGCCGTGAGGTGAGTGACGATACATACAGCAGGAGTGTAGAAATACAAAGCTGCGCGTTTGAGAACGGTGAGCTCTCGTCGATGTCCAGATAATAATGCACGTACTGTTGTCAAATCCTTGGATGCCGTACTGCTCAACCCAGTAATCCTCCTCCTCGCTCGTGAAGAACGGGATGGGCGGAATCTGCAACAACACCGTTCAGCCCCACCACACGCCCGCACACTCACCGACTCACCTCGGCCACGTCCGCCCACGCGCCCATAAACGACCTCTCGCTCGTCAAGAACGTCTCCGGCGTCGGGCTCGCCACTGTCCGCAGCGTCCCGCGCAGCGTGCGGCGGACGTCCGTGTCCAGCTCCGCGGCGGCCAGCTCGGGCGTCTCGCCGAGGAACACCTGGTACGCGAGCCGCGGAAAGTGCGGCACGAGCGCGCTCGTCGGCTGGAAGTCGCCCGAGAACGGGATGTATGGGATGGCAGCGCCAAGCACCGCGCTGACGATGTCGGGGCGCTGGCGCGCGGCTTGATAACAAAGCTGGGTGCCCCAATCGTGGCTATATGCGCAGTGAATAGGCATGGACGTAGAGCGAAGGAGTGACTGACCCAACGCAGATGGCATTGTCGACGCCCGCGTCTTCTAGGACGCAGAGAAGGTCTTTGACGATGTCGTACCAGGTGCCGGAGGACTTGACGTCGTCGGGATGAGTCGACTCGCCGAAGCCGCGTAGGTCGGGGATGATGAGGCGCGAGTCGTTCTGCGATGCAGATCAGTTATCGCGCAGTGGTGTGTTGTAAAGCGTAGCCATAAAGATTCAACATGGGATGCGTTTTCGTGCGCGATCTGTTTGCTATGTTCACTACCAGCACGAACGGTGCATTCAGCCACAACGTCCTATTTGATATGTCCCAACAATCCGATCGGAGAGTAAGCGAGCGGCTCGATCATCCGAGGTCACCGTCGCTTACAGGCAGTCTAGCCAGCCAAGAAACGACGGAAGCACACGCACCTTGAACTCCTCGACCTGATACTTCCAGCTATGCCAAAGACTGGGCCACCCATGCACCATGAGCAGCGTGCGTCCCGCCTCGGGGTTGACGTCCACATAGTCTGTGAGAGCATCGAACGCAGCAGCCTCAAGGCGCGATACGTGCATTAAGCAGTCATCGGTGCTTACGGATGTCGATGTCCTTCAGCCTGTGCGTGGCGCGGTTGAGGGCCTTGCAGTGTGCCACCTTCTTTGGGAGGTCTTGTGGGCGGAAGGACACCTCGAGATTGGCGTCGGCTGCGAACGCGCCCAGGGCACCGGCGAGCAGGAAGAGACGAGATAGACGCATGGTGCGAGTTAAAAGTTGGGATGGTGAGGAGAGAGCGAGGGGCCTCGGAGAAGGGGACGTCTGTCAAGGCTATATATTATGATCGATGATGCATGATGTAGCGCTGTCAGTGACGCTGACCTTTCGGGAGCAAATACCCCGGTCTATACGCGTGCATGTGCGTGTTCTGATAGATTTGACGAATCCCGCAATTGCAATGTGAATATTAGGAACGTTCCATGGAGATCAGCCCTTGGCCTGGGAGCGGGATCGCCTGACGCTCTGGTTTCAGATGAGGAAGAGGCGCGAAGAAGGAAGAATGACGCTTAGAACTCATGATTGTCGCAGACGCGCGAGTCGGTAGGAGTCGGTACGTTGACCGTGTGCAGACGAGACTCACAGTTCCTTCAAACTCCCGCAAACACCGGATATCCTTGTCTGGCGCGCTCGGCAAGAACGTGATGAATCTGATACTATATCCAATTCCTCGCGCGGCGTTTCTCTCGTTCTTCTGAGCCAAGTGGTGTTCTGTGCAGCTCAAAGTCGATTCTAAGGCTCTGACATCTGCCAGCTATAATCGCGAATCCACGCCTGGCGAGCGCCGCATGGCAGTCAAAGTCCCATGGACGGTGATAGACGGCTATCGACCCTCATTGCATGCGTTCTTCTCGGATTTGCGCTATTTAACTTGAAACGAGCCGGAGGACGACGTGCAATGCGCTGACTCGGTGAGTGTTGCTCTGAAAAGTATCCAGTAGATCAACCCCTCCGTGATGTTCGAGATTCCTGGATTGCGACAACCCTTGGATCCGCTTGTCCGCTAGCGATCCGGGTGCGAGTACTTCTGGCCAACATCGGATGGGCAACATTCATTGCGAACCGAGGGGTTGACCGGAACATATATGCGCTCGCGCGTCCTGAGTGTTCGAGAACAAGGTACTATCTCATCCTTCGGCGCGAGCCCTCCACGTTGACTGCTGTTATGACACCCATTTCTCAATGTCAAGTCATCTCTAGGGTGGGCCCATGTGTACTGAACAGGAACCTTTCCACCCGCACATGTATATGTGACTGTGTCGATTCAGCCTACGGTGTCTGAAATTGCATGACTCTTTCCATTTTTGTCTCTGCTGCACTCGAGGACAAGATCAGTCTCTCATCTACTCTGCATCGATTCTTGGCATAAATCCTAAATCCCACTTACCAGTAACTCTTCTCGCCATGCTGTGCAGTATGTTTACATCTTGTGCGGTATTGCCGTGCTCATGAGCAATATCTCGCCCTTGCATTCTTCGATTGTACGATGACGGCGTGCTCACAGTGTGTTATCCACATTTTCCCTTCATGCAGAGTCGTACAACTTTCATAGTGGATGGTTGGCTGCTTTCATGCAACAATCTGGGACCACACGGTGAGTCTGCGGGACGAACTTCAAAGCCAGAATCACGCGTATGCTGCAGCAGCTCATGATGACACGTAATTTTCATTCTAACCGGACGAAGTACCACTGTGTGACTACATACAGGATATATGCTGCTCGAAATGTTTGCTGTGGCTGAAACATATACAGCGGTCCGGAACATGGCCCATATGCGGAAGGTACGCGTGCACATGATCTAGACATGCCGCTTGCTTAGCGCCCACAGTGGGCGAAGCAACAAAAAATCCGCGCTCGCATAAGCGCCTGCTGGCAATCCTCCTCCTGCCCACCACCTCCCCACCCGACCATGCACACCCAATCCTTCCTCGACTCCTCCACCGCTCTCGAGCACCTCAAAACTTACGACCACTCCGATGGCCTCGCTGTCGACGAGCTTATGAACTCGAAGGTCCACGGCGGACTGACGTACAACGATATCCTCCTGCTCCCCGGCAAGATCGACTTCGCCGCCAATCAAGTTGTCACCGAGAGCCATATTACGCGTAATGTCGTTCTCAAGACGCCATTTTTGAGCAGTCCCATGGACACAGTCACGGAGGGCGACATGGCAATTGCTATGGCGGTGAGCGCACCCGACCCTCCCGACCCGCAACGTGTCCGACTGTCATGTCATCACAGCTCCTGGGTGGTATCGGTGTCATTCACCACAACCAGTCTGCGGAAGAGCAGGCGGCGATGGTGCGCAAGGTGAAGCGCCACGAGAACGGTTTCATCACCGACCCCGTTGTCCTGACTCCCTCGCACCGAGTTGAGCACGTCCTGGACGTGAAGGAGCGGCTGGGCTTTGCTGGTATACCCATCACAGGTGAGTTGCAGGCCGCGCCCCCTTACGCATCGCGCATGGCGCATGCATTGTGATGAGATGTCATTTCCATACCTTCGTTCTTCCGAGTAACATGTTTTCACGTGTGATGTGCGGAGTCTTACATATATGGCTTTCTGATACGTCGCTGACTCGTCCATCATTGTCCTTTACTGATATTAATATCGTGTTCAGATACCGGCGCGCTTGGCGGCAAGTTGCTTGGCATCGTCACGAACCGCGACATCCAGTTCCGCAGTCCTTTGACGCCGTTGTCGGAAGTGATGACGACCGACCTTATCACTGCACCTGAAGGCGTCACACTCGAGGAGGCAAACAATATCCTGCGTGATTCGAAGAAGGGCAAGCTGCCTATTGTGGACCAAGATGGCCGGCTCACGTCGCTGCTCTCCCGTTCTGATCTGCTCAAGAACCAAAACTACCCACTCGCGTCGAAATTGCCGTCGAGCAAGCAGCTGTACGCCGCAGCAGCAGTCGGCACACGTCCCGCAGACCGGGAGCGGCTTGCGCTGCTCGTCGACGCTGGGCTCGACATTGTCTTTATCGACTCGTCGCAGGGCAACTCGGTCTTCCAGATCGACATGATCCACTGGATTAAGGCAACGTACCCGAAGCTGGAAGTGATTGCGGGCAATGTTGTCACCCGAGAGCAGGCAGCGAGCCTGATCGCAGCAGGCGCGGACGGACTACGGGTGGGCATGGGCTCGGGCTCGATCTGCATCACTCAGGAAGTGATGGCAGTCGGGCGTCCGCAGGCGACGGCCGTGTACGCAGTGGCGGAGTTCGCGAGCAAGTTTGGAGTGCCGGTCATTGCGGACGGCGGCATCCAGAACGTCGGTCATATCGTCAAGGCGCTGGCGCTTGGTGCGGGTGCGGTCATGATGGGCGGGTTGCTGGCAGGTACGACGGAGGCGCCGGGCGAGTACTTCTACCATGAGGGCAAGCGCGTCAAGGCGTACCGCGGCATGGGCAGTATTGTGCGCGTCACATGTCATGATCAGGCTGCGCATACACTAACAAACCCGTAGGAGGCGATGGAGCAGGGCAAGCCAGGCCCGACGAGTCAGATGAAGGGCGCACTGACGAACGGGGTGTCGAAGAAGAAGAATACGACGCATGAGAACGCGGCGACCTCGCGGTACTTCTCCGAGTCGTCGGCGGTGAAGGTGGCGCAGGGCGTGTCGGGTGACGTGCAGGACAAGGGCTCGGTGAGGCAGTTCCTGCCGTATCTATACACGGGCGTGCAGCACTCGTTGCAGGACATCGGTGTGCGCAGCGTGGCGGAACTGCAGGAGGGTGTGAAGGCGGGCCGGGTGCGGTTCGAGCTGCGCACGGCGAGCGCGCAGGTCGAGGGTGGGGTGCATGGGCTGCATTCGTACGTATTCTGGTCTTCCCTCGGCATTGAATAGTGGCTGATCGACACGCACCTCCAGGTATACCAAGCGTTTGTACGCTTAGGCTGTTCGTGAGCGCTGCTCTGTAGGGTCAGGTTGTTGGTCCGGTCTGCAGCAGTAGTGTACTGATGTCATCTATCATCCGCGCTATACATTGACTGGCTCTTTTGAATACCAGTGGCACGCGTTGTAGTCCTACATGGAGCTTGGCCGTGCTAGTCACTACGTGCTACGTCCTCTGCTACGTCTCTTTCACGAGGCGCGACCACTCTGCTTGCATGCTACCAACAACAAACGACGCCATAGTCAGTGCGACGCGCCGGGATCTCTGAAACCTCGACGTGCTGTCCTGCACCTCATCCCTGCAACGCTGACGATTATTCCATCGGCCGCCGATATAAACGTTGGACGAAATATAGTCGTGGCAATCGTGATTGTGCTAGCTTTCGCGATGGATTGAGAGACGGAAACCAGAGAGCTCGAATGGGCATTGATGACGAACGCCCAGAAAAGAGCGGCGAGCGAGTCTGCGAGTAGATCACCATCTATTCGTCTCTCGGTGATTTGCTTGCGAAAGCGACTTCACGTGGTGTATTATTCGCGGCGAAGGAGCAAAAAAAAGGTCCTATTTGCTACGAGTAGCGGGTGCCTCACAGCAAAGAAGGCACTTCGCTCGGGATGATGCAGCGTGCACGGTACGCCAATAGGTCGTATGTCTGTGGATCTCGAATCACCTATGATGTTCGGTCGAGGAGCTGAGTGCAGACGGCACACGGTGGTGGCTTCATCCTGGCGGTGTCGGCAGAGAGAAAGCTGGGTAGTCAAAGCCGAGCGGTCGATTGTGCAATACTTCTATGGGTTATCTGGGATGGAAGGCACTTCGACGAGCTGTCTAGTGTGATGTGTCCGCGCCGATTATCATTTGGACAGGCGGCCTTGAAAGCTTTAAGGAGGTCACTTACCTTCTAACTAGTATGGCGTAGCTGGTGGCTTGAATGCCCTGTCTGCAGGTCTCGGTTTGCCATAGCGTTGCGTGGCGATCTTCGCTGCTAGTGAGTCAATCTCGTATTTTGATCACACTTGGGTGCAGCTCAGTGTGGTGTGGTACAGCATCCTGGACAGTATCCAGCCAATGGTTATGCTGATTATTCTCAATAATTTTGCGATCAATGCCATGGGCCAGGATGATGATTTCACTTGAGGTTTTGGCACTCACCTTCCATTCCCTGTGGCCTACATTAGATCACTTAAGTGTCGTTTTAAGCTATGTTCATGCCCGTTCATGGCGTTAGGATAGCAGCATGAAAGAGGCTCATCAGAAAAGCACATCTATGACCAGACTGGTGGGCTTCGCGAGCTCACGCAGAGAGTGTTGTTCGTGAATATATGCATAAGTATGTGTAAGAGCACAGCTATGGTATCAGGGTATGTACTACAATGACAGCCATTGTCATATAATTACGAAGCAATGAGTTCGGTAGACAACCTAAGGCCGCTATGGTACACCACTGTTTGACCTCCCCGCGGGATTGTATTATCAATCACACTGTTCCGAGAGGCAGCCTATTTTGAACCAGATCAAGCACCCTAACATTGTACATATCGGAATTCTGTTCGCAAGCCAAATCACGCTCAGAGCTTTTGTGCTTCGATATGGCGCATGATTGTGAGAGATGCGAGGATCTCTGGATGAAGCGAACAAGCAAATACATGTTAACGTCACGCGAGAGGTCATCGATCATCACCGAAGAGCACGTACCAACAGCGAGCCCAACGTACGCCTCATAGATCGTGAGAATGTTCCCGGACATGCTAAAAACAGGCTTGTCTGGCGGCTTCAGATCGTAATGCGCGACGATGCACTCATTGCAGTCCATGCACTAGT